TAGTACTGTAATTGTTTGTGTTTGTTTGTTTTTCCTTTTGCATGTCAATTACTACTAGTACCATTATATATTTCATATGCTTAGCAATAAATAACTTTTATAGTCAAACTGGTAGTAACTGGGTATATTTTTCCTTCTCTGCTTCTCTTTCCTCCCGTGCTTTGCAGCAACACGTCTTTTACCTAAGCTAAAGATCCCTGTGAAACCCAAAAATACTGTGGGGTCTGCTCATCAAGAGGCCAAAGACTGGGATGTGCTGAGTTTGAAACACATAAGGGGATCAGCTGGTACACACTGATTGACCCAGGTTGACTCAGACGTGTCCTTATGAACTGAATGCTGGCCCATGAGGGTGTCAGCTGGACACCCAGCCGGATTCAGAGGGATTCTGTTACCTGTGTGCTTGTGTCTGACTGCAGTTTATTGTTGCTCTGATGAACTGATTCTTGGCATATGAGGGTGTCAGCCTGTCCATGCTGATCAACCCGGCCAGGTCAGGTGTGTCACGTTAATTTGTGTGTGTTTGTGTGTATGACTGACTTGGTGACTGGAGGAACCCAGCCCCATTGAAACTGAGTCCTGCAAGATAGCTCCACTGGGGGTGAGGACTTGCAGAAGGGAGATATACAGCTCCATATAGAAACACAGGTAACACAAGCAGCACATTGACAGAATTACCAAGACCCTAGAAACATATCCCTAATAAATGAGCACCACCCCAAAGTAATGGGCAAATCTGGTAACAACAGGTGCTTGCCACTTCTGAAACAGAAATCAGACTACTTTCATTGAAGTGTCTAAATCCCAGGCTAGTTTCCACTGAGGCAGGTATGAAGTCTTCACTGATTTCAGTGGAAACTGAAGAAAGCTAATCACACATCATCTGAACATTCTGGCTTCTGTTTCTCCAACCATATTTTCTTTACAAATCTAAGATGTGTTGGTTATGGCTTCTTTTTGCAGTTGTGTCAAAACTCTTAACACAATGTTTTGCATTAAGCCATTCTAAAGCTATAACTAAGGCGAAGTATGGGCAGATGTTTCCTACACCCAGGGTGTCTATCTGTGTACAGTTGGTAATGCACAGTCATTTAGTATTTGCTTTAGTTTGCACAGTACCCACTGGTACTACGCAGTCCCAGCGGTGCACAGGTTGTTTCTGACCCTATGTTGCCATAGCAACAAGCTATGGTGACGTAGTAGCAGTGTCATAGTTAGTGCCCACCGATGCTATGGTGACGTAGCATCTCATGTAGATGTGCCCTCTGTCTACGAACATGCAGCTTACTTTAAGCCACTTGATCATAGTTCGGGATGGACATATGCAGATGGTTGCTAGTGCTATGAGCTGAGCCAGGGACCTGGAGTAAGTAACTTGGGGTGGGAGATGGGCAGGTGGGATTGGAGTGGGGGCTAGTAGGTCTGTGGGGGAAAGGGGAGGTTGGTGGGTCCAGGAGAGTTGCCTGTTCAGGGGTGGGTGGGCCAGGGAGCTAAAAATAAGCCGGTCAGGGTATAGAAGGGTAGGAAGAGTGCAACTCCAAGGCTGGGGTGAGCACCCAGGGCTGCGTTCCAAATGTGTAAGACATTCAATAGATCAAACTAATCCAGGGGTGGGCAATTATTTGGGCCTGTGAGCCACATATGGAGTTCTGGTGAGCTGTCAAGGGCTGGGTCAGTCTTGTTGGGACCCAAGGGGCCTTCAGACATGGGTTTGACCTTTATGCTTAACTCAAGCTATATGCTTAGCTTGAATTGTGGTTCAGACATGCACCCAGTGAAAGGAGCAGATGGAAAAATACTGTCCCTGACTTAAAACAACTCAGGAACTTGGCTAGCTAAATTGAATAAATATAGCCTGGGGAAAAGAGGAACAGTCAGAGCAAGACCTACCCATACATAAGAATGAAAAAATCACTTCAGAATAGAAAATTGCAGTTAAAGGTAACTATATCTGGCAAACAGCAAAAAATTAAGAGGAAGGCTTAAGCTAATTTTATGTATTAGAAAATGAAAGCTATATGGTATATAAAGAGAGGTGAGAGAGTGTACCCTTCCCAACACTCCTGCAGAAAGCCTGAAGAGATCCTGTCATTGTTCCAAGATCCTGCATCAACATCAGACATGGGACCCAGGAGCCCCCAGACAAGAACTTAGTCTGATCAACCAGTGAAGTCGTGTTCGTGATATTATGGGGTGGTGAGCATTTGCTTTGACTAGCTACAGTTCTAAATTTTAACTGCTTATTATTGCTTCAATTCTTATTAGAGCTGTATCTGTTAGGGTTCAATAAACTTGCTTTTAGTTTAGGACAACCGTTTCTTAGTTTCCTTGCTTGGTATAAGACCCATTATAGCATCAGGGGAAGCAACAGCCCCCATCCCCAGGCCTCCCACCAGGCAACAACTCACTAAAACTCCCTAAGCAGCCCCCTCTCATCCACCTGGCCACACTTGCTGCTTGCACAGGTCCTGGCCGTCTCCATGGGCAACCTGGGATCATGGGGCAGTGACAGCACAGGGCCAGAGCCCAGGGCAGAGCTGCGATTCATCCCCTGTATGCCCCTGCCTGCAGAACCAGTGCCTATCACAGGGGCACGCGGGTAGCGGATCACAGCTCTGCGCTGTGCTCAGCTGGGATGGGGCTGGGGCTGGAACCTGGGGAGCAGAATCTGGGAGTGGGATGGGTGGGCATGTGGGACCAGGATTGTGGGGCCCCAGCTCTGCACTGTCACCGCTCTGCGATCCTAGCCCCCAGCCCCGCCTGCCTGCCCATCCTGCTCCCGGATGCTGTACTCCAGATTTTAGCCCTGGCCCCAGGGTGTGTACCAGTGCTGTGATTTGCTGCCCACACATCCTTGCAACAGGCACTGATTCTGCAGGCAGGGGCATACAGGGAGAAGACTGCAGTTCTACCTCAGGCCCCAGCCCCGTGCTGTCACTGCCCCAATCTCAGGGTCTGCATGGGGACTGGCTGGGACCCATGCAGGCAAGGTGCATGGCCACAGGGATGGGCTGGGGCTGTGGATGGGTGGGGAGCTGCAGCTGGGGCAGGGGCTGGCCAGGATCTTGGGGTGGTTACAGTGTGGGACCAGGGCTGGGGCAGAGCTGCAATCCACTCCCTGCACAAACCTGCCCGTGGAACCTGCACCTGTTGCAGGGGTGTGCAGGGAGCAGATCGCAGTCTGCCCCAGTCCCATGCTGTCACTGCCCCATGATCCCATGCCATAATCCCAGCCTCACCCACCTGTCCAGCTCCTGAACACTGCTTCCTGCTCACCCATGGCTCCATTCCATCTGCCCAGTCAGATGCGCTGCCCACACATCCTGCCCCCAGCAGTGGGTGCAGGACAGATGGGCCAGAGTGATTGGGTAGCGGGGCTGGATTCAGCGGTGGTAGCAGCTGGAAGGAGCTGCTGTCATCGGGGCTGCCAGGAAGTGAGTCTGGCCAGTGAGCCACTCTAACCCCACTGCACGTCTGGGAATGGTGGGACTGGCCACATGCTCCATGGCTCAAGCTGCCTCTTCCGCCTGGGCTGGGCAGGACCGAAGGACCTGCCACGGGCCAGACAAAATCCCTCTGTGGGCTGGATCCGGCCTGTGGGTTATATTTTGCCCGCCCCTGGGCTAATCTGTTCCCAAACTAGTCAGTTCACCTAGCTCTGCTCATGCTAGCTCCAGATCCAGGCTAAGAACTGATGTTGTATTTGTCTCTGGACACAGTATGCCCGTATTTGTTCTGGAATGAAAATGTCCCAGTGTTGGTGTGTACACACCTTGCCCTTCCAATCAAGGTTTAGTGAGAGGCTGAATGCACTGTCATCTTTCTGCCTTTGATTCAATAAAGCATGTGGTGGGCCAGAAGGGGGTGCCCCTGAGCCGAGTCCCCTGCCTCACTGCACCCAGCCAAAAACCAAGCCTCGGATGCTGCCTCAAGGGTGCCAACTTCTGGCCAACCCCCTTCCTGGAGCACACCTGCAAGCCTGGGGTAGTGCCGCCACCACCCGGACTCAGGCCTTTGTTTGGGTCCTGTGCCCCCCTGACCTCCCCTATCATTTGAACCTTGGTCCCTGGATAAAATGGTTTGTCCCAGGAAAAATGTAATGCCTGTTTGTAGCCATAGAACCAGTACAGCGTGCTAGCATGGTCCTATGCCTGGGCTAGTAAGCTCAACTTCTACAGAACTAACTTAGCCCTGGTACAGTGCTGTGTAATGTGGCTACTGCTTCTGGTTTTAGAGCTAGAACATGCAGAGCTATCCTGCATATCTCTACACAGTGATGCCTTGCTCCACAGAGACATGCCATTAAACATAAGTTTAGCAAAACATTTAAGCAAATACTGAAGTCTCATTGAAGTCAAAGTAAAGTACATGGTGAATCATAACCTTTGTGCATTCACAGGGGACATGATGGAATAAATTGAAGCTGAATTTAGAATGCAGTAGATGGCATATATTTGTTACCCTATTAAACTGGAATGACATAAAAGAATGAAGTGTTATTATTGAGTGCAAATAATACAGTCATGGTAAAAAAAACATGGTATCCAAGACAGAAAACGATAAATGTTATAGATCTTCAACTCTTACATGGGGACCTGCAGGGCCCTCCAGAAACCAAGGAATCCAAAGCAATTTAACTGATTTCCTTTTCCTTAATAGTTAATCCCTCACTCCCTCCATCAGAATAATGGTATGACGAACAGAAATGGGGCTTCAGTCAGGAAGTCCTATTCTCTAAATAACTATTAGGCTCCTGCTTCAACTACTGTATGCTTCTGTTTAATATTACCTACTAGATAATTGTAAACAGCTACTTAGACAATATGGCAAACTTAAGTAAAATATAAACAGAAATCTGAAGGTCTGCTTCTGAATTCACTTATATCCCTATTATTCAGGAATTAACTCCCTTGAAGTTACTGGTGTTCAAGCAATGCAGGAACAAGCCATAAGACTTTGCATATTGTCAACTTGGTGTCATGCACACAATCATTTCTTACCTTTATCAAAGATTTCCTTCAGAACTCCTCGTTTTATAAGCTCTTCCCTGCTTTGCCTCATTGATATCTTTCTTTCCAACGCTACAACAAAAGGACAGAGGTAGATATCATTACAAAAATAAAGGTAATTTTAAAAGACTGTGTGCCCTTTATAGCTTTTATTTACTTTTTACTGTTTGGCCCACTGAAGTCAATGGCAAAACTCTCGTTTGTATCTGAAAGGAAGGACTATTGTAACTCCATAGATTTCTACTGGCTGTCATGACATGGCTGTTGATATGTGTTGATCCAGAAAGACCTCTCTATTCGCTCCTATACTCCTGCTTTACTAAAGACAAATAGCATTAAATAGCTTCTGAATAGCAATTGAATAGCATTAAACTGTGGATCCTTCCTATGCCAGACAACACCAGACAGCATGATAAGCTTGGTCCTTGGCTCCTTCAGGGCCTGGACCTGTACTTTTGAAGTCAATGGGAGTTGTCACTAACTTCAATGAGAAAAGAGCAGACTCTTACAGCACAGAATAGGGCACATTTGTTTGTAGAGGCATTTCTTCAATAGAGGAAGTGATATTTAGCCTGGTATAATGGCTTCTTCCTAAGGATGACTTCTGCAGAAAAGTTGACATGTGGACCACCATTCATAAGAGGACATCACTGTTGTGTCCAGGAAAGTATTCAAACGGAAATAAATCTGTGACATTCCATTAAAGTCAAGGAAGATTCACTGATTAACACCAGTCAAGGAGCTTGCCCAAAACTAAATAATTATTGTATTTGGTGCCTGGAGACCACAGGCACAGGAAAGACGAATAGAATTCTAGTGGTTGATTAGTTCAGCACTAATTAAGACATTGTTCAATTAACCAAAACATCACAAAGTAAATATATTCAGGTATGCACTAGAAAGAGAATGAGCAAGGGGCACAGAAAGTGATATGCAGGGGATGCTGAGACTATGTATGCTCTACAAAAAGCAAGGCTCAGCTTGCCAAAAAAGAGGGACTGTCAAGGGCAAATTACTTATGCCATATGCTCCTCTGTCAGATGCAGCACACAGCAAATGAGCAAGGAGGAATGAACTTCAAGATGCCCAAAGCAGATTTAAAGTGAACGAGGCTCTAAAATGCTCCCCCACTCCCCACCCTGAGATTTCCTCTGTAAACATGACTACGTAGCCCTTTGTGATATTGTCATACTACCTGGTAGTTGTATGTGAGGGTTGTTTCTGAAGAATAGAATAGATAAAATGGTCTAGAATGGTTTAATCATGGAGTATCCTGCCTTGAGCAGGGGGCTGGACTAGATGACCTCTTGAAGTCCCTCTAGCCCTACTTTTCTATGATTCTAAGTTCACTGTGTACTTGGAGGACTAGCAAGGTTTATATTGACGTGCATCTTGTTGAATTTATTTGCTATTACATATGGGTGGTTTGGTGTTTTGTTTTGAGGTACTGAAGTGCTGGGCTCTAGGGCCTATGAGAATCCTGCTTATAGAAAAGGTAATATGTCCCTTAGGAAAGTAATGCTGTTCTATTCTTTTAAAATAAATATTAGCTTAAAAATAAAGCTAAAGAAATCAGCCCTCCTGTGTAGTCAATGCTGGACCAAAAGCTATACAACCATTAAAAATATAAAAACACGCTTAAATATCCTTAAATGATCAAATACCAGCATGATCATTAGGGCTGTGCAAAATTTCACTGGCTGTTTCGTTTCGACTTGTTTTGAGCTCAAAACAGCGAAATTGAAACGAAATGACATGAAACACTTTGAAACAGCCTCAAAACAAAATGAGGGCAGTTGAAACATTTCAAAAGTTTCAAAGCTGGGCTCGCTTGCAGGGAAACAGAAAGTAAGGAGAGGGAGGGGGAAGAGGGGGGAAGGACTGCTCTCATATTGACTGTGTAGCTGGCCAGTGACTGTGATCCTTCCCTGAGGTCCCTTCCAATCCTAGTGCTCTGGGGGACGGATGAAAAAAGCAGCATTGTTTGAAGTGAGCTGCTTTCTGCCTTGGGGTCAGTTACTGAGCTGTGAGCAGCTCAGCAGCGTCAGACAACAAAGGCTATCATTTCCTACTTCCTAGCATGTTTCTAGCAAGTGGGATACATCAATACTTTTTGCTTTCTATCCCTTTTATTTAATTATTATATTCATTCATTCCTTTCAATTTATTCCTCCCCCAAAATCCTCTTTTTATTTGCCCCCAAAATCTTCTTTTTGTTTGCCCTGATGGAGATATGTATGTGACAGTATCTCCATACTGGCTGTAGGAAGTTGGCTTCTGGTGATGAGGTTAGCAAGGTTCAGTGCTTGTTTGAATTTACAAACCACTTTTCACAGCCCAGCCTATGAACTGCACTTCATCAACCTCCTAGGTACAAAAACTCATCGACACAAATGGACTCAATATAGACAGTGGAATTCTGACACACTACAATGTGCCAGGCATCTGACTCCCCAGGTACCTCTCCACTTTTACCTGTACTTCTACCTTCCCCCCAACCCCAGCCTGTCTCTCACCCCCTGATGCCCCCATTTCCATTTTCACTGACTGGCTTTCTTGCCTGCATTGCATGCCAGCTTCTGGCTTCTTTACTATTCCTTCCATCCAGGAACAGCACCCACACCAACTGCAGGTGCTTCCTGAGCCTGACAAAGGGTTTTTCAACCCAAAAGCTTGCTAAGATATATTTCTCCAACTATTCAGTTGGTCTACTAAAAGATACCAGATTGACTCAAAGAACCTTATCTGCCAGTGCCATGTCCTTAGATCAACATCCCTAGCACCTGTCCCTGGTCAGCTGACTGGAAGGAGTCAGGGCCCTGGGCACATCTAAGCCCCAGGGCTGGGGCTGGCAGAGGGCGTTCTCTGGCAGCTGCTGGAAAAGAACCTCCTGCAGGAAAGGAAAGAGGCTCTAGTCTGTCAGTTTGGCTGCCTGAGATGCTAGTGCTACTGTGATGCAGTGCGTATGTGTTGTTATTTAAAGTGGTGGACTGGACTGAGGCTGTAGGGGAGAAGGATGCCTCATTGGGGCACACTATTGTGTTGTGTAAACGCCCCAGCACCAGTGCAGGCATGCCTTAACACACACAAAGTCATACATGTCACAAGTTTTGGTTGTCAGCAGCTTGAGGTGCAGTTTCCCAGAAACCCCTGCATCTATCTCCTTGAAACTCAACAGACTTTGTGGCCTCAGCAGGGGCTACAATCCCTGCAATTTGCGTTTGAATCAGGCAGTTATAGGCAGTTTTGTGATTCCCCATTATAGCCTATGGGTGAAAAAGCAAAACTGTTTTGACGAAACAAAATGGAACAGTGCTTTGAAACAAAACAAAACGTCAAAATGAAACACTGTCCTTATGAAATGGTGAAACGGAAGTCGAAAAGAAATGGTGCTGTTTCGCACAGCCCTAACGACCATATCATCTTGAACATACTCAGCTGATCTTCAGTGTCATTAGCCCTTAATAGCAAGCCAAAAACAGAAAAAAATTTCCAATTGCACCTAAACTGATTTTTTTCAAAGTTTTTCATAAAAAGTCTAAACAGTTTTGAAAATGACAAAAAAAATGCCATTTTCTTTCTTTCAATTGAAAATTACACATTTTATTTCAACCTTGAGTTATTTAACCTTTGGGGTTTTTTTAAAAAAAGGCCAAATATTTGTCTATATGTTGAAATAGAACCTTTTTGGCATTACTGAAATTAAACACTCAGTTTAGTAACATATTAAAATGAGACAATTTTGAATATTTTATTCTGTCCTCCCAGCATTTTGGTTGAAAAAAAATCCACCAAATTAGTCCTGGAATCACAAATAGCTTCAGTTTCTCCAAATCTACATTTTTCAACATTTACTGATTTTTGAGGAAAAAATGCTCTAGTAAAGACTGTGTTAATTTCATGAATTGAAGTCAGTATTTCTGAAAGGTGGATATGGTACTCATTATGGTTTAGTTATATCTTGCTCACTAGCAAGACAGGGAGTACTGAAAAACCACAGACTCATCTAATAACTATTTTTAGGGTCTAAATTATGTAGAACTTTCCAGGGTCACTTTGGATGATCATCTGTACAGAAAGCTCTAACACAGCTCTACCTGTGACAGCTACCTTACCAGAAGATTAAAAAAAAATTATGTTCAAAGCTTGAGCTAAAATGAGAACTTTTCTCTTTAAAAAATTCTTCCTGTGTCTGCTTATAGATGATTTGATTGCTACAAGGGAAGCATCTCCCTTGGTGAAACAGTGGTAAAGGAAGGACTAGCCAGGCTGTTCATTTAAGGACAGCACTGAATAACAGCAGTAGCTGATAGTATTAAAACTTATGTTTTTCTTTCTTAGGACTCTTCTCTCCAAACATAGCTAGTATATTTATGTGCACATGTTGTGATTCAGCTGTTGAACTGAAGTTAAATAATCACAGCGGCCTATCTTAAAGTCTGCATGTAAAACTCACTAAGTATTAACAGCATGAAACATGAACTGAATACACAGCTCTATTTTACCGTGACAAGGATTGCAACTTCTTTTGCCAAGGATTTTTTTCCAAAGAAGTTGGCGCCACAAACTCGTTTCACTAAGCACTTAGAAAGGACTCATCCAACAAAAGGAACAAAAAAATTCTTTGAATTAACCTTCAATTCAGGAAAACTTGTAGATTAATGGGTGAAGAAAATAAATATAATTGCATTTAACCAAAAATGTAGTCTTTCCCTTGAGATTTTCATTAGTGATATGTTGTATTAGACTGTTTTGTCCTTTTGTTCTTTTTCCAGGAGGAGAGAAATTTATGTCAACATCTATCTATGGGAACTAGTTAAGTTTAAAAACTGCTAATTTAACAAATGAATATTTTTAAAATAAACCATTTTGGTTGGTGGAGTTTACCCTGTGAATGCTCCGGTTAGGCCAGCAGTACAGTTCAGACAAGCTCATAAGAATTTCTTGTTCCTTTGTCCTAGAACAGGGGTGCTCTACCCCCGGCCTGTGGGTCAGATGCAGCCCATGGCCCTGTGTCATCTGGCCCATGGGGTTCTCTATGGGATCGGATATTTGACAGTGGGAGAATAGTG